ACACCATTAAGTCTTTGGACAGTATTTTTTTGTCGTTTTGTCACCACAGTGGACGTTAAATCCTAGAATCAAGATGTGATTGAAGTGCAGACTTTCAGCTTTAGATCAAAGGGTTTAACTGAGCTATTTTCATATGTTCAAAAGTAAATGGACAAATGACTGACAAACAGTTTAAAGGCCAGGCGAGACCTGAGTTCAAGTGACTTACAAATAAAAATATTTAGCATTAAAGCATTACTGACCAAGGTTGTTAGCATTAGGTGATCCACCCTCTCAATTCAATTCAATTCAGTTTTATTTATATAGCACCAAATCACAATAATGGTTGCCTCAAGGTGCTTTATATTGTAAGCTAAAGACAATTATGGTCACTTTAGGTTCCAAACAAGCAACAACTGTTGTTGTAAATAAAAGTAAAAGCACGAAAAAAGTGAAAGCAGTGTCTGTATGTGAGTTTTGGGGACCCCTGAGCTCTCAGTGTATATACAGTCCTGTGGTTCCCCTTAGTTGCTGTCTGAACCAGTATGCTTCTGGGTTTCCCCGACTTTACTTTCAACCTGAATAGTGCAGATCTCAAAGCAGATTTCAGCTCCTTCATTTCACTAACCTGACTGCGAGAAACCAAAAGAGTTACAGACTTGGAGAATGAGTGGGTGAAAAGGAGGGCTGTGACTGAAACGCACCATCTGCTGGCATAAAATAAAGACTTAGATGAGTTAGCGAACGGATCAGAAATAAACTAACATTTAAAATGAACTGAATAGAATGAACAATTTACCCAAGAAAATAAGTACATTGCATGCCCTCATTATCTAGTGGGGACTTATTCAATTAGTTCCTTTCTCTTGAGACCAGAAAGTAACGTAAGTCACCCAAATATTTTATCACCTCCCCTTTTGTTGTTCCTTCCCAGACTTATGCGTTCTTTCCCGTCAGTTTCTGTGTTCATGAACTGCTTTTATGTACATATGTCTGTCAGGCCCCCCTCACATAAAGTCCATAAATAGTCCTCATTTGAAGATTTCTTACATTTTAGAAAACAGGTCACTTTTTTCCAGTGGTAGTTTTCATGCCTTTTTATTTGTTTACTGGTCCGTTTCTTTTCTTCAATAACACTACTATAATTAATTGCGCGCATAGTTATTGATATTGCACCAGTTTAAAAATGTGTATTTATTGTTTGTTTATTGATCTCAGCACAGGCTATTTTAATTCCAGACCTTACATCTTCCCTCCATGCAATTCATCTATTCTGAGAATCTTGCACTGATTTCACATTTTATGAAAATTATTCATGTAAAGCCTGAAAGCCTTGGAGGGTTTATTAAAGTCTCTCATGAATTTAAAATAAGGAATTAAATATCAGTTTTCATATGTGAGTTTTAATTAGTATCATTTTTGTTAGCGCTAGCATTTTTGTGCAATTTATTACCCAAAGTTTGGTATACTTTATTTCTTTTAGTGATCTTTTATTACAGGTTTGTCACTTTGCATTTGAAACCTCTTCTATATTGCTTTTTTGCATATAGGAATCATTAAAATCTGTGGTATTGCCTCTTTAAATGGTGTGAGGTCTCTGTCCAACAGAAAAGAGGTTGGAGGGAAAAGGTGGGAGTCGAGCCAGCCCGTGTGTGCAGGATCACAGATGGTCGTTTAGCCTCCTGAGGAGAGCCGGTGTCTCTGAGATCGTTTAACTTGGCCTCACGCTGCACGCCTCTCTCCTCTATCACACGGTCCCAGCTTCCCCCCCATGTCGGCCACGCTGGCTGTCTTGCTGTTTGTGTTTGTGTCATCTTGCTGCTCTCTCGCTGGGCTGTCATCCCGGCCCCAACATCAGGACTGATGGGCGACGTCTGGAAATATTTCAGGATGGATTCTGGGAAGTAAAACCGCAGGTGTAGAAGCACAAAACAATATTTTTTTGCCAGGATGAAAAAAACAAAGCTCATTACACACTAACATCACTTTCCCTTCACACATTGTGTCTTTGTCTACAAATCACTCGACAGGCTTAGTGTCCTTGTCTACAACAGCACAATAAGTTTATTCAATCGAATACTGCGCTTGAATGCATTTTAAAGGCAAACATACGTACATATTGCTTCATCATTTACTGTTCATCAGTCAGAAGGAGACCTGTCACAGGCAGCCATCGATGTTTTATGACCCTTAAATTTACCCCAAATGCACTTTTTCAAGTTTTTCTACAGTGAATTACCAGAAAACACCTAAAAAAAACATGCAACATACCAGTGCTTGTTTCTGTGTTTTTATTAAAAACTGGGATTTTTGTATCACAATATAAATATTTACCCTCTAAGGTCTAAGCTATCAAAGCTGCAAAACTCAATCCCACAAAACTCTTTTAAAAAAAACGGCAAAATGAGCCTTTTTGATAAAAATATGGATCGGTTTTAATACGTGTGGAATATGTGATTGTCTGGACTTGCAAGAACAATTTAACAATTACTAAAATTACAAAGTGTGATTGCCTAGGGTTGGAGTAATGTAGTGAGACAGAGCAGTAACATAATATGGAAATATGTTACTGCCTCAAAACTCTACTTTTTGTTACTGCCTCAAAACTCTACTTGAGAAAAATGCATATATACATATACTGTGTGTCAAGTCATAATAACCTGTATTTAATATATGTACAAATAATTTAAACAGTAGTAAGCAGTGGCCACGGCTGACTGCCATGCACACGGGAGGACAAACATTGTTTTACAGCAGCTGGACGGACCTGTGTTCTGCAGTGACAGCGTTTGGCAGCGTGCAAATGAGTAAACATCCAGCTGGTGCAAACAGAGCAGGCAAGAAAACAGCAGCTGACATGCAGCAAGAGAGCGATAACCTTAAAACTAAGGAAATGAAGAGTTTGAGGCTCCAAACAAGTCCTTCTGGGAATCAAAATGTTCTTGATCCATAATGCCTCCTGAGAAAAATTCTCCCATATGTCAGTTTGTGTAGTTTCCAGCAGCTCTCTGTGTTTCTGGTTTGCTTTTGGTTGTTATTGAAGGATCTTTGTTTTGATGTACTGACAGAGGCAGATGGGGGCTGTGGTGCAGTGGCTCCTCTGACCTCTGTGGTGTGAAGATCCTGAGAGCCTTTCAGACACGAGGAGCTTCACATAAGCCGCACTGTAGGTCATGAGGAGCTGGTAGGCTTTAGCCTGCAAGGATAAAAACAAGGACATAAGCAGATATTGGATGTGTGTGAGAGAAAATGTGAGGTGGGATTGAAACTATCAAAATGCAATCTTAAATGTGCTTTGAAATGATTAGTTAAGCCTTTTCTGCAGGCTACACTTTGAAACAAGGGGCTTATTAAGGTCTCAGTCATATAAACGTAGCCATAAAAACGATCAGATGCTCATTAACTGAAAATACTAGTGCAATCTCTAGTGCAACAGTAATCAGCAGACAGGCGCTGCTGCTCAAATGCACTCGACTGACTGATCATCAGCGAGTCTGAGCACCTGTGGTGGCTGGCGGTAAAAGTCTTTGAGGTGGTGGGTAAGTGGGTCAAAGAATGTAATGCACAAACACTAATATTTCCTAAACCTTTACATGAAAAAACAACAACTTTAAAAACAAATCTAAATAAACATTTTTGCCCTCCTCTTCTTTTGGGTGGCACATTTTTCAGTGACTATTTGATATAAGAAGGAGGTGCTCACCCCACATCCAACTGGCTAGCTGCACATGTGCTGGAGATGGCTGTACAAGCTACTGAATCATGGCACATACTCAGTTTTTCACTCACTGCTTTTGCCTTAATTTCCGCTGAATAAATAATGACATGGTGTAATACAGTATATTGTGTATTGTTCAGCTGTGGCTCTACCTATTTTTAGAATATGGCAAGAACCAAGAAAGTACCAGAGGGGGAAAAAAACAAAGTTTGGGTAATGAGCCACTACTGAGCTGTTTTACGCATTCATTTCTTAGAATTTAAGCCCAAGTAGTTGTGCTGACAGATTTCTTTTTATTCACAAAAGCAGCATGTCTTTGTCAAAGAGAAAAACTGACACGTCCTGTTGAAACCGCACTCAGGGATTACATGTGTAGTTAAACTTCTTTGCACTGGTACGGCCCATTTAAGATCAAAGTGAGCTGAATGTGACCCACGATATAAAACAAGCTTGTGAGGTTTGGTAAAAGAAGCCATTTTGCTCCTCCAATGAAAAGCAGAACGCTTCAGCTCTGATTTTAGTGCCCCGTGAAGCTGCACACATCTGTGATTAGCCAGATGTGATAGATCTGTTGCTGATATGACTAACGTGGGTCTACTATCGCCCAGACCATCACATCTCTCACCTGAGAAGGTAAAGCTGCATCGGGGACGAGGCTGTAGTTTTTGGTGGCTGTGGCGTCCTTCTGCTGGTTGGATGATCGGCCGCTGGCTGCGCTGCCATTCTCCAGCAGAGGCGTCTGCTCATCGGAGTCCTGCTCCTCCGCATCTGATTCTCCGGCCGACACTTTGGTCACCAGGACGAAGTGAGACATCTTGCTCTTCAGTTTTTTCTGATGGGAGTTAGACATCGATTTTATCATTTTAAAGACCAAATGTCTGCGTTTGTTTCCTGCGGCAACCTGGAGTTATATTTCTATCGATCTGGAAGGAGGGCAAACAGCGGAGCTCCAGAAAAATCGATGCGGCAGCAGCAGCAGAACAAACCGGGCGACAGATGTACTCGACTCTCTCACCTGAGTGTCAGTCGTCGCAAAGCTGAGCTCCTCTAAAGTTTCAGTCAGCGCCCTCAAACAGGGGGACATGTCCCAATACACGAAGTACAGCTACAGAGAGACACAGAGAGGGGACAGCAGACACGAGCTTCAGTGAACCACTGATGTCTATTAATCACCACATTATTTCATTTTAATAGATCTGTTTAAAGCATGGAAGATGCCCTGCACCACAACATGCAATATTATTACTCCTGTGAACACTTCAGGATTTATTTTATATTTACCTTAAAAATAATCTTGCATCACTGCCTTTGCTGTTGGAGTTTTGAATGACTCATACTCTTGAGTTTTAATTTGTATCATTTTTGCTACATCCGACATCCGATCAAAAACTCATTTATTAAATATGATTCAATAGGTGAAAAGTCCTTAAATTGCTTTTTTCTAGTTTTGGCAGTCAGGAAATAAAGATATGAAAACAGTTTTTGTCTTTTTTATTCTTGGACAGCATGATGTTGTTAAGGAGACTAGTCTGTGTGCTTCTCTTTTCCTAAACCTTTATCGTTATCCTGCACACTTTTCCTCCACATCACGATGTTTTCCACTGAGGTCAATTAAAGGTTTTACTTCCTCTCATTGGCCGTTTCCCTTCTGTCTGACTGTTTGCTGTCATTGGTGCTGAATCGTCAGTCATCTCTGTATTTGTGTATTTATCTTTGGCAGGTTGTAAACAAAAAAGGGGGAAATGAATGAAATGGAAGTTGGTAGCCTGAACTGTATGAAACAGCCCATACTCAGCTTCATATTCTGCCAGTTTGAACTGATGTTATCAAACTAACCTTCATGTTTCCGGTGCAGTTTCGCACCCAGTCAGCCACGCCCACCAGCAGCTTGTGTCTCACCAGCATCTCGTTAACCTGGACCAACCGAATATCTAAATTCACATTGATCTGACACAGAATGGTTTGAGAATCAGTTCAGGGTCAGACTTGTGTCAAAACTGGCTTTACTGGCATGTCGTGACAGCTGACTTACCTCCTTGTTACTGCAGTGAAGGATGAGGATGACGGCAGTGGTGAGGACGATGGAGATCAGGCTGACGGAGAGACAGAGGACCCAGTAGTCGCTAACGGTGATGTAGAGATGTAGGGTGGAAAACACGGCACACCACAAAACCACATACAGCACCTGGTGGAAGCAGAGGGGAGAAGGCTTTAGGATTGTCAGCTGTGAAGCTAAACCATTAAATATTCTGGTTCTCAAAACTGTAGGGCGGACCCACTTGTGAAAATACTGAGTGAAACTAAGCGAATAAGAACGTTGATGTTTTTGCATCTTCGCTGAGCACAAACTCTGCTCGAATTTAAGTCTAGCTGGATTTCACTCTGCCTCTGTGTGACTGGTAATGGAACATTAAAAGGGTGATTTTTACTGTTGTTGTTGATGTTTGTTCAGTTATTAATAAAGGTTTTCTTATGAAAAACCTCAAATTTACCCAGAACCCACAGAGATGTGTTAATGATGCTTGTTTTGATTGGAATTCCAAACTTATTAGTCTGTTTATTAATTACTAGATAAACATAAAAGAATTAGTAACTACAGTTTTTCACTAAATACTTACAGCCAGAGCAAAAACATTGAAATCATGGCAATTACTCTATTCATGACTCTCAAATGAAAGGACTTCGTGTTTTCTCTGCCATATGTCACCTAAACTACACATTAACTGTTTCACACAACTCCGCGCAGTCCTGTGCTGGTCTTCCAGGACCGGATGACCCAGCAAATCCAAACATGCAATGGCCAGAGAAAAAAGAACCCCCAAGAGCTACATATCAGAGTCTAAATGTTGCAGAAAAAGACTGAACAAGTGTAGTTTGTTTGTAAGGGTAGCCGGGGGACGGCCTCTTCTAAGCATAGCTTAGGCTTGCAAAGTTGGATCTAAACAAGAAGATTTATTTGTATTGGATATATAATAAAGAACAATGCTTTTTAATACTGAACTAGTGTAAAGTCAATTGACTTGTATGCTGGAAGTAAAGTAAATGTGGTATACTTTTGATGGATATTTCAATAGATTATAAGTCAAAGCACATAGATAATCATAATAAAATCATTTAGTTAAATAATTTAAAAGTTTCAACTAAAAAAATAAATAAATATTGTTGTTTTGTTTTTTTCGGGATTGTTTGAGAGTACACTGTCTATAAAACCTGAAATCTGTGTAACTTTTCCGCATTTCTTTGTAAGATGTTGTAGCAGCCTTTAAGGGGAATTCCTCTGAACAATGAGCCTGTGAAAACTTCCTGTCTATCCAGTTAGTCAAGACCTTGGAGGTTTAATGAAAGTGCAGAATTTACTCAAACTGATTGATGGAGATCTTTGTCTGTTTTGCTCTCTTTTCTATTTTCACTCTGACTACCAGAAACAGCCTGCACAAGAAAAACATTTCAAAGAAAGAATGAAAACCGAAAGAAAAATATTGAAAACAAACAAAATAAACACAGGAAGTGATAATGGAGAACAGAAAGATCATCATACCGGCGCCATTATAAAATGAAACTGAGCCGAGTTGAAAACCATGTATCTCCTGACCGAGGGGACGTCCAGAGCTGTTTTCAGTGGAGTCTCCATGTCTTCACGTGGAATCTAAAATCGTGAAACAAACAAATTAATTTGGTAAAGATCTCTAACGTGCTGCTGTTCAGTGTGTACGCGTGTTAACCTGGAAGCCCTCCCTCTCCAGTTTGGCACGGCACCAAAGCAGATTAAAGCTGGGGTACAGCATCGAGCAGCTCGGCACTGACGCCACACACTGACCTGAGAGAAAGACAAGAGTATGGAAATAAAACCTTTGAATCGATTGATTGATTCATTTCATTTCATCCATATGCATAAACCAAAAAACATCACAGACCAACACCTGACAGTGTGCATGCGATGAGAATAAGGAAGACCAAAAAGTAATCGTAAAGATCAACTGATTTCAATAGTGAACCTTTGTTAAATGTAGGTCATTAAAACCTCAGTCCACCTCTGGTGTGTTAGTCATCACAAACAACTTTAAGAAAAGTAGCCACAGGATGAGCTGTGGGGTTAAAATATGCACCACAGATTTAGAGCAGGCTTTTTAATCCGAGACCTTTACAGAACATAAATAAAATCTAACACTGTGTAACTTACAAGGAAATGAGGAAACTGTGCTCAGAGGTGAAAATTGCCTTTATGTGTTTCTGGTAAAGCGTGCAGGCTCGAAGCATTCCTGGCACAACAGTCCCAGCACTGGTATGTGGTTCATTATGAGGCGCAGGAGGAATTTCACACTTCAGGTTTGAATAGGCGAGTGCAGAAGCAGTTCCACGAGAGCATAATCCAGGTTTTTTTTGTCCTCGTTTCAAAGAACGTCTCTGTTAGCTGTAAGAATGATTGTGCTGGTTTAAAATGTGCCATGTGTGATTCAATCATTTGTCACAGGAAACCAAGAATATAAGAAAATAAAACATGTCATCAAGATCAAGTCTGTGTGAAAACTATTTTGGGATCATAATGCCTCCCACACACCGCTTCAAAAGTCTCTTTGGGTGTGGAGCCACTCCAGATGGGGCGTGGACAGTGAGGGGAAAAATAAGGAATGACGTTAGGTTGAAGGATGATGATCACTGCTATTGCACTGAAATAATCTGCACGGTTGTGTGTTGTGTGTGTCGCTGTGTACTGTCACATGGGGACAGTGTCAGTTTGCCTGTGGGCTACTCTGGTTTGTCTGTTTTTGGATCTTTAGCTGCTGAGGAGACCACAGAAGTTGTGCAGTCAAAAGAACTAGTGAAGTGAAACTCAGTGCTAAAAACAATGAAAACTGCCCACTGCAGTCAGATCTGTGCTGCTTTTTAAAATCTCCGATGCAGTTTTCTTCCTTTTGAAGCCCACTTTATAACCAATCAGCACTGCACCTACAAATAATGTTATTGCTAATGGGCTGTTGAATTCGTGGACTGCAACAACTTACAAACAATCCATCCAGAGAGTTCTTGAATTATTGGTTAGATTGACGCAAACAGTCTGTAAGTAAGAACGAGATTTTAACTCGCTTTTTCAACCTTTACACAACTGTTGCATTAATATTTTCTCTTAACTGAAACAGGCACTATAATCATAGTAGAAGGTAGTGTAGGTCTGACTAAAGCACTATGTGGACAAAACTGCCTACACATTACATCTACAGGTGCTTCTGGACCATGGAAACCTGCGCTATGAAGCTCCCAGCACCCGGTCTCTGTGCTGATGTTAATGCTAGCCGAGGCTTGTAGCTCTGCAGTCATTGAGCCAACACAGAGTTGGCTGCTTTTCCACACTGTCCACTTCAGCAGCGACCGAGCTCTGTAACTTTTTACACCTGAGTTGCCGTGATCTCTAAAAGCTTCCACTTCTTATCACGTCACATATCACAAATTACAGATGATTGTGGAATATCTAAGAAGGAGGAAATTTCAGTAACTGAGTTGTTGCAGGGGTGGCGTCCTATTACAGCACCACGCTCTGATTTAGTTAACCCATTCTTTCTCAAATGCTTTTAAAGGCAGACTGCATGTTTGGTGCTTGGTCGTATACACCTGAAAACACCTGAATTCAAAGCCCAGTACTTTTCTCCATATAGTGTGTGAGATGAATTACCCAATTTGGCTTTTATTAAATATGATTTATCAGCTTGTTCATGTTATTTGCAACCAATTCAACAGATCAGTTGGTAGAAAACACACAGCTTTGATAATAATCCAGTGCTTTGACAGAACTGGAAATCTAGGCTACTAAAATGAATTCCAAAGATTAAGGTCACACAAACACACACAAAAGAATAAAAAATATTAACATATTTCAAAGAGACTAGAGGCAGGCAGTTAGGGAGACAGCTAAAGGATGATAAAAGGCATCACATCTAAGCAAGTCTATAGAAATGAATTTTTAGAAGCTATTTAAAAGAAGCCGTTAATTCTGAAGGATGGTCTCCTCAGAAAGGTCACATCACAGCTGAGGGTTGTCTCTAGATTTGAACCTTTTGAACCACTTAAAAAGCCCCACCTGAAGCCTCGAGCAGGCTCATACAAGGTCAGTTATTCTGCTGCCTCGCTCGGAGACAGACCCAAACAAGCTTTAAAAAAGCGATCAGTAAACTCTTAAATCAGTTCATACGTTGAGCCGACAGAGAGAAGCCAGGATGGGGGTGATGTGATGCTGTCTGAAGTATCCAGTAAGATGCCAAGCACCTGCCAGACGGCAGGAAGGTGCAATAATCCAGGCTTAAAAAGTACATAGACGACTTTCTGCAGATCTGAGTGTGAAAGTGTAGCTTTAATTCTATAGATGGTTCTAACTAGGAGAACTTTTTTTAACATGAGACTCAAACATGAGGTCTGAATTGAAGTGAACACTCATGTTTCTGGCAGCTTTCAAATGCCCAAGAGAAGCTCTCAGTTTGTGGGATTGAACAATAGCATTTGTGGTACTTTGTTTCAGAAACTGCTGTGACGTCCAACATTTAACCTCACTGAGGTGGTTTAAAAAAGCAGCTCGGCTTTTAGGTCTCATTAGAAGGTATATCTGCTTGTCCCAGGTGTAGGAATGAAAAGAGAGGTTCGGGAAGCGAATAAATAGAAAATAAAATTGCACCACAGGTAGCACAAGCTGCAGAGGATGAAGGGTTTCCTACACTGTTAAGAATGCTCTCATGACTGTTTTGTATCAGCAAAAAGAAGCAGAAACATCAAAGTAATCCAAATGAATTGATTCAATTATTTCTCTACACCATAGGCCTTAGTAGGCTACACTTTGGCCAGGATTAGGCACAAAGATTTTGCTGTTTATTTATCCTACTTCCTGTTTTATATCTAACAGCTAAACATCCTGATTCATACTGAGACCAGAAGCCTTGTTCCTTCAAACAGACGCAGTAAAAAGGCAATTCATTTCATTAACAAGCTACAAATGTCAACTTGCAAAACAATACTGCCAGTAAATCAGCATAAAAAGCTATATGCCATAAATTCATCTTCCATCAGCAGCTGATCTTTGATGCACAAAAACTGAACTAAGGATGTGATGAATGAAGAGCTGTTTATCAAATACATACAATAAAAAATGCAGTTACCGTTCGACCAGTCAGGTCTGCTGTTGATGCTGTCCCGCGCATGAGGTCTGGAGTACTGAATTTGAACGTCCCCCTCCCTCTCCTCCACTATGTGGCAAACTCCGTTGCTGTCCTCCATCATCTCGGGGGTCATTGTGTCCTTAAGAACAAAACAATTAAATTAAAAAAAAAAAAAAAAACAAAACTGTTAAGCTTAAAAGTTCCTCTGGCTCATGTGATGGCAGAGTCATGCACGATTTTGCAAGAATCACAAGAAGACAGTCAGAAAGAAAATCATGTGCGTGTAAGAGGTTGTGACTGCCAGTATGAATAGCATTGGGAAACTGTTTGGTAAGCCTGGAGAACACATTTGTGAGGAAGCACGTCATGATAAGAGATAAAGTAAAGAGGAATGCATTCATTTATTCTTTTCCTAGTGTATGAGTCCCAACAAAGGGGAACTTCAAGACGGTACACACAAAACCAAAGGAAGTAAAATATTTAGCTACTATCAGTACTGAACTGTGCAGAGAGCTGAGTCATGGGCATGTCAATAAATTAGAGAGAAATGACTGGAAAAGTTAAAATCACTTTTGCATTGATTACATACTAGAAGTAACTTGACAAGCACCTGAAAAAAGTGTAGCTGTACTGTTTTACATAAAGAGTAGCGCTGCATGGTTTTATGCATGTTGTATATTAGATGCATGTTTGAACTTTTTTACTCTTACATCACCTTGATGATCAGTTACATCAGTCAAATGTTACAAATGCAGCACACAGTCCTCCAACACAGAGAAAAGCATGTATATTAGTCTCTATATGCCAGCCACTCTGTTAGATACACCTGTTCAACTGTTCATTAACACAAAAGTCTAATAAGCCAATCATATGACAGCGCCTTTATGCATTTAGGTACATAAACATGGTCTGAAAAATAGGAAAAAAATCCAGTGAGCAGTACTTCTGGTGGTGAAAATGCCTTGTTGATGTCAGAGGTCAGAGGAGAATGGCAACAGTAATTCAAATCACCAGTGGGTATAACAGGTAAGAGCATTTGAAAATGTAACACGTCAAACCTTGAAGCAGATGGACTACAGCAGCAGAATACCTGTCCTGTCAGTTAAGAACAGGAAACCGAGGCTACATTGTTCACAGGTTTCCCAGCATTGGATGTAAAAAGACTGGACAATATTTCCTGGTCTGATGAATCTCGATTTCTGCTGCCACATTCAGATAGTAGGATCTAAATTTGGTATAAAAAGCGTGGAGCCATCCAATCTCGCATCAAGGATGCGTGGTGGATGTGTCATTTCTTTTTACACACTTTGCCCCTTAGTACTAAGTGAGCACAGTTTAAACACCACAGCCTACCAGACTATTGTTGCTGACCATATCCATCCTTTTAACAGTCACAGTGTATCCATCACTTAATGGTTGGATAATGGACCAGTTCACAGAATCCAGAATGGCAGCGCTGAAGATAAAAAGTGAGCCCAGCTAAGTACTAGTAAGGTGTTAAATGCTGATCTGACAGGAGGCTGAGGCCTTTATATGGTGACTATGTAGCATATAAGGTAAGGTTCTCATTCCATTTCATGTTCATTTCAGCAATCCATGGATCCCTACATCTTTGCACCACTTGAATAAACTCTATGAGAGCTTTAGGTGCACATGTATAGCTCATGTTTCCCCTAAACTGCATTATTCTGTAAGTAAACTAAAAGAAACTAAACCCAAAGTCGATCTGTGACCAGTAATTTAAAAAGCTAAAGCTAAAAGCTAAATATGTTAAAGAAACCACAGCCATAACGATAACGGGGACAAAAAAAAAACCTTAAAGAGGCCTTTATCGCTAATAAACACATTTACGGTTAACTGTGAGAAGTCTGCAACCTTGCAGGAAACTTTAACTTCTGCTTTCGGGGATGTGGGCCGTTACTGCTGTGCAATACTGATACAATATCTGCTTACGGAGGCAGAACAAATGGGCTGAATTGTTGAGAAATTACATTGTTGTGATTATTTTGGAGTTTTACCAAAATAAAACTCGTTCGTTGCACACAAACGTGCAAAAATGCCATAGCAGAGAAGCTGTCTCATAAAAGAAGAGGAGACACAGGTTTCTTGTGGACACTACACCTGAACCAGATCCCTCTCCAGCACCAAAACTGACCGTCAAATAAAAGAAAAGTAGTGAACTTAAATGTTTTTTAACCAGCTCTCTCTGGCTGTCGTTGGAAACAAAGTTTAGCAGTTAAGTGTGAAATTTAAACTGTCGGTGTCTAACCTATTGAAGTCTAACCTCTTCCTCACTGCTCTCATTCTGACTTTATTTACTTTCATTTTCACTTCCTTGATTGTTAATAAGGTCTAACGTTAGACCTTATTAACAATGCCAGTACTGGCATGGAGACAGTTTATCACTGCCTGCTTACACTGCTTACACTGCACCTGCAGATGAGGATGGGGAAGAAAAAGAATGACACATTTCACACATGTGCAGGCAGGCTGTATCTTGCACTCGGTGCATGTTTTTACCACCCAGAGGGCTTTATCAGTAAACACCCAGCTGTTATCTTTACAATGCATCATGTTTTCATGTCCGGTGTTGCAAACTGCACATCCTTTTTGCCTGCTCGTAAACTAAACAGTGTATCCTTAACCTGACGTTAAACTGAAGCCTCGACGATGACAATGGTTGAATATTTTTGCTCCTACGCATTTTTTTTGTGCGCAAAAGTTCCTCTGTAAGTTATTTTGTTTCTCCTGACACCTGTACACGTGAGAGCTCCAAAGCAAGACTAAACATGTCCTACCTGAACTTCAGATGAAACTCCATCAGTTCACCAGAGCTGTCATCTTTGTATTCCCTTTGTCCTTCCTACCATAACTCCTGTTAATCGAGAGAATTACCACATGATGGTCCTACAGACACACACAGAATTGAAGCGTATGCCTCTATCACACGAATGAGTCTCAGCCTCTCTCTCTCTCTTTCTCTCTCTCGCTCTGTTTCTCTCTCTCGTGACTGAGCTCAGCCCAAACTCATGACTGCAGGAATGTGGTTTGTGTGGTGTTCAGCTCAACCTGTCAGCATTAGAAAGAGGCTCATGGCCTTCATGCAGGGACCCGTTGAGAAAAACTAGCTTCATTTTGATATTTTGATATATATAT